GATTCTGGTTCTAAGAAGCAGAGCTTTGTTATCCGAAAATGGCTATTCTGAAGCTTCTTCCAGCTGTAATCCTTTAATCTCCATCTTCAAATTCTCCTTTAATTCTTCCAGATTATGATGTTTAGCCTTGGTCCAAAAAAACAAGGCTTTAAGTACTCTTGAAAATTTCTTATTTAGAGCTTCCATATCATCACCCCTCACTGGTTTTGTCCAAGAATTCCTGACCACAGATGATGCAGCTAAATAAGACAGTCATACATCTTCAAACTTTCGAAGTTTGGTACTTTGAAATTGTTGATCAAAAAATTTCAAAACAATGGGACAATGGTCAGATGCAATTCTATTCAAATGCCTTATTGATGCTTGATTAGTTATTTCCAAAGCTTTTGAACTCAGCATGCACCTATCCAGCCTTTCCAAAATCCGGGCACCTCCACTTTTGTTATTGTACCATGTGAACTTAGAACCAAGAATACCCACATCATGTAGGTCATTCCTATTCATAAAAGCCTTCATTTCAAATGGCCCCTGTGAGAAAGAAAATTTCTTTCCACCTTTATTCTCATCTTGTGACAGAATGCAGTTGAAATCACCTCCTGCCACAGATGGAATTTCCTGGTTAAAGTTTCCATCCAGAAAATTCCATAAATCTCTTTTTCCTTGAGTCTCTCGACTACCATAAATAGTAGCTACTATCCAATTGATTTTGTTGAAAACCTTTAGTTCCCCCAGCACACATTGATCTGAGGTCTTTATCAAGGAGAAATAAGCTACTTCAATTTTCCAGATTACTAGAATTCCTCCATAATTACCTCTTGATGGCTGCAGAAAATAATCCCAGTTCTCACCCATCAATTTGACGAATTCTTCTTTAGAAAGAGAAGAAATCTTGGTTTCCACAATGCCTACCAAAAAAAAAACATTACAATCTCTTATATACTCCTTCAAATACAAGGAGGCCTCCTTCTTATTAGCCCCCCTACAATTCCAAAAGCTAATAAAAATCATTTGGATAAGAATGGGGATGAAACCCCACCCCTTCTCTTATTCATGCTGATTTTAGTTTGCCTAGAAGCCATATTTAATGAGCCCAAGTATCTCAATTCCTTAACAAGTTTAATTTTATGAGAAGAACCCTTTCCATTACTCAGAGCAAATTTTCTCCTCAATAGGATTATCAGAAATCCTCTCAATGCTACCCTAAGCAGCTACAACTGTGCCATTGTGATGACAGATCTCTAGATTTTCCACTACTTCACCTTCTTCCACCTCTTCTTCAATGGAATCAACCTGAATTTCAACATTATTGCCTCCCTCACATAAGGCATTTAGCAATTCAAATTTGTTATTAGAAGAAAATAAGGCCACCTTGTTTGAATCAACCTCCAAATTTCCCTCAGGAATTCTTTGTTCCGCCAAATTCCTGGCTTGGAAACTCATATCCACCTCAGCTTCGATAGAATCCACTGCATTTTCAACTGAATTACGAATTTCAGCAGGTTTGCTAGCAACATCCAGCAAATTTGTACTAACTTCTGGCAGTTTTCCCTCTCCAAGTTTGTTTGAGTTATTGTTCCTGCATTCCAGATTTATTAATAAACTTCCATTATACTTTGCAATATTAGAATGCTACCCATCAACAGATTTCATTGCTCCACTACCCTTAGGAATGAATTTCTGCATTCGTAATGGCTTCTTTTTATTCCTTCTGTTATTGACTAAAGACCAAGAGTCATTATCAGGAATTGTCATGGTGCTAACGGCCTGTTCTGGAATACTTCTATTAGGCAGTCCAGTAGTCTCTACTGGCCCTGCTTTCTTCTCAACAACATTGCAAGCTTCCTTCAAATGGCCAATACGTCCACAATTAAAACAAAAGTTGGAAATTTTCTCATATTCCACTTTTTGAAAAAATATACCATTAACTCCTTCCACCCAAACACCAGTAGGCAATTGTCGATCCAGCTAGATTCGAACACATACCCTGGTAAATTCTCTCCTCCCCCATTGGAACATATCCCCATCAATCAAAATAGGATCACCAATATACGACGCTATCCTTGAGACATTGATTTCGTCTCAGCAGTATAATGGCAAGCTCGGCATCCTAATCCAAATTGGAGAAGACAGCCCTTTGAGTGAGTTAGGATTAAAATCTGAGCTCCACTTATCAAGGCCAACTATGTGCCCATTGACAAACCATGGCCCTCCCAATAGAACATTCTCCATGGCCTCCTTAGAGAAGAATGAACATAGAACCCAGTCAGAGCCAAGGCTCGTTAAATGAAATTTACCATACTTCGTCCACTGACATCTCAACTCAGCTGCTACCAGCTGCACAAGAATTCGCCTCCCAAATACCTTCACAACAATAGAGAATTGAAGCTTCTTTGAATTTGTTTTAACATTGGGCTCAAATAATTTGATAGCTGATCCGTCTTCAGTCATAAAAGATCCACAGGTCGGAAGATTGACTTTAATATATGGACGTTTAATCCATGGATTCAAATGTTCTTGTTCAGATGATAAATCGCTGGCGTTGCCTTCTACTACAGGGATAATTTGACTTCCATCTACTACTGCTTTTTCACAAACAATTGGATTGCAAGTTTGAGCCTTATCAGACGAATGATCGTCTTCCATAATAAGTTTGTGCTTCAAACTGGTGAACCTGCTAACAATTATATTTCTCTGTGATGACGATGAACCTTCATTAAGATGAGGAGATTTCCTTTCTTCTTCAGTCATGGCTTGTTTGCCTTTTCCCAGCACAGGTGATACCACCGCAACCTTCTCCAAGATTGGTTCTCGGATCACCAAAGGCGAATTGCTTCTTCTCGATGACTTCTCAAACAAAGCTTTATCGGCAGTAGTAGAATCTATGACCTTCCACGGCGGAACATTCCGGTCATCGGAGGTGACCGGACGGTGATCTTCCATCCCCCACAAGAAACCCGCCAACGGTATAATTCAAAAGAAATTTGAAAAATCCAACAGAAAATCGGGAGTTTCTCTAACAAAGCTTAAATCACTAGCCTGCAGTCCTTAGGGAAAATGAGATTTTGTAAAAATTGATTTAGTGGATTACAATATTTATATAAAAATTCATTTCAACGCTCAAACACCCAATATCGTAGTGCTCCTTTAATTTCCCAAAAACAAACACCTTTTCCGCTTTAATCTGCAATATATTTTCAACATTATTTTTTGTTGTCATGAATAAATATGATGCTTGTTAACATTCTATCTCCTGTATAAATATTAAATACATTAATTTAGAGATGTGTGAAGCTTTGTTCTTTAGTTGTTATACTATAAAAATTTACTTAAATTCATTTACCTCGCAGCCTCTACACACTTGGCCCTATAGGATTATGAGCAAGGTGGTCTATGAGTGTCGGTGCTCCTATGCGACCATAGGGGAATGGACGTTTATACAGGGATCAGAATTTGTTTCATTTGCTCTTCAGTTTACCTTTTTCCCGGCTTTATGAAATAGATCACACCCTGTTACATCTTTTTTTTTTCATGACGTTAATAAATTTAATTATAATTATTAAAATTAATAGTTAGTACATTTCCTTGCCACTAGACCGCAGCGACTTGCACCTTGTATATCGCATTAATTCAACAGTATTAAAATATAAAGAAATTACTCAAAATAAGTTAATAATATTCTGTTATATATATATATATATATATATATATATATATAAAACAGGTTATATTATTAATTAAAAAAGATAAATAATATTTGAATCTTGTATAATTTAGTCGAAGCTTCCAACAGCTTTTTTTTTGTAATTTCTAAAATAATATTTTTAATTCAAAAAATTTTTTATTAAAAAACTACTTAAAAAATAAGAAAGTCATCACAAATGAAGCTTAAGCATTAAGCTTCGTTTGAGACAACTTTGCTGCTTTCTAAAAGAACTTTCTAGTATTAAAAATTTTTGTACTAAAAAAAATTTTATAAAGTAACAAAAAAATTATTCCAAATGAAGACTTAATTTAACACAACTTTCAAGTATTTTGAGGTGATAGTTGAAACCATTCTCTCTCAAGAATTCAAACCCTGTTATAATCGTAATTGACCACATGAGACGGATTGGGAGGATTATTCTCCAAGTTTTACTTGAATTTCTGACCTGGACTGTTCTTTTTTTGAACATTTTCTTAATGATGATTTGCTTATATAAATTTTCAGGAAACTTTCACTTATAACACAATTCAGCTACAGTTCCCTTAATAATTGAAACTTTTAGTCCAAGTCTTTCTAAACATATTTTTTATAAAAGAAATATTGCATCACATGAAAATCAAGTTGCTAAATTCAGTATCACATGCAAGATTCCTACCTGTTAATAAGAAAAAGTTAACGCAAAATTTCACTAATAAGAAATATTGCTTAAAAGGACCGCACAAATACATTAGTACCATTAATTAGATGAGACTGCTCATGAAAGAAGAGTCACACTAACCTTTAGCTTAGTGTTCTATTCGCTGGCTTTCAAGCCAAACTGTGTTAACTGAACTTGTTACAGCCCAGCACGCTCCCAAAAATCAACAGAAGTAAGATTCTAATTGCCCATGAAATATCTTAAGAGTAGTAATGATAGCAATATTAGGTATTGATCCAAGTAAAATTACCATCTAAATTATTCAAATATGAGAAATCTATCTGTGAAACAAATGTGCACTGATGCAGTTTATATGCTCTTTCATAAAAAGATGAAGCTTAGGGGCCGATGAAATTTGTCAAAAACTTGAGTGAGATGTAGCACACAAGCAATGAAATTTATAATTTCATCGAATGGATGCAAACCATATCATTCAATGTGCAAATTTCTGCACCTAAAACATTTCTCTATTTCTTAAATAAACAACAAGAGAATAAAAAACTGCACCTAAAACACTTCTCTATTTCTTAAATAAACAACAAGAGAATAAAAAACTGCACCTAAAACACTTCTCTATTTCATAAATAAACAAGAAGAGAATAAAAAATTTAAACAGTAATTACTTGCATTCATAAGTTGAATTCCAATCTAATCCTCCGAAAGCACCCAAAATAAAAGTAAAAAAAACAAAAAAGAGACAGAAGCAAGCAAACAAAGAAGTATATGATAATAAAAACTTACAAAATGTACAGTGATTATCGTTTGAAATCAATCATTGTAAGCAGTCTTCATTTCGGGCACCACATCCGATCTTTTATTCCAAAGAAGCTACGGTGGGGGATCAAAGAACAGTCTTCAGGTCACATGGAAAGCACATACATAAAGATAAATTACACCTAACCATTCTTTTCCAGCAGAAGCCTGCACTGATATAGGAGAGTATGCCTGTTCCAACCAAAAACTTTTAGTCAGGATATTCCCTTCCATTATCTTTTACGCATCAATGCAAGTAGACAAAGGCGTTAGGTGTGATTTTTAAGCGCACTTTCCAACCTTCTACATCATTCAAAAAACATTGCAAAATGAACAAAGGAAGCTTCAATCTATCATAATAGTTTACTCACAATATATTTTAGGTAGTGAATTGGTTTTCTCAGACAACTTCACAAGTTTGCGTAGTCATCGTGGCAGGATTCTGTTTTTGGTTAACTGCCTTTTCGTCTGCCAACCTAGCTGAATTCTTCTTTGCAGGGATTCTACTGGCGGAAATTGGTATTGGAGGCTTGATCACGCTCTGAGCACTGCTTATGGGTAAATTTCCCTTCTTAATTGTCTTGACTGCTGCTTTGGATTGTGTTTTCTGCAAGGTGGTGATCCTCATCTCCCACGGACGAACAGCAATCCACCGTTCCATCCAGCTCCAGCCCCAATTTCCTTTACCAATTTCATAGGGCTGCCCTTGGTTTACACCAGGGTTGGCCCTCCACTGCAATCAATGATATACTGGATAAGACCTGTTTTAGTTGCTTGGTGAAAGCATTGAGCAGGTTATTTGATTACCTGGTGAGAAAATGCATAGGCCATGGCCCGTTCACGCTTAACTGCAGCTTCTTCTCTTTGATAGATTCTGGAGAGGATTCCTTCCATTGTTTCAACACCTCCACACCATTCCACCTGTTAGCTAGTAGATGAAGATGTGATTTGCATTCCATATAAAATCTATTAAGCAATGTACAACTATTATATGGATGTAAAACTGATTGTATATCTTATAGAATTGAGATGGAAACTATTGTGTTGATTCAAAAACTTTGAAGCAAAAATGACTTGAGTGGGGATTTAAGTTGAGCCAAATATGCTAATGGTTAAACACCAATCAAACCAATGGTTTATGCTAAATGTAAGGTCCACTGATAATTAGAGGGGCTTGAGCCTATACGAAACCTGAACTCAGATCATAAAGTCCTCACAAAATGAGGGTAAAATCTCTAGGCATTGTCTTATTTAAAACCAAATTTGCCTTCTGAAAATTTACCTCGAAACTTAAATGTTAAAACTCTCCTCGACGCTCCGAAAAAGAAAGAGGTCGCGGAGAGGCCGGGGCACGAATTTTTGAAGCCCACATAAAAGAGCACTCCACATCAGTCATACCTATCCCACAAATAATAACTATTCAATATCATTAGCCAAAACTAAGAGCTAACCCCATGACATGGAGTCAGTGTGGGTGACAACCACTTTTGAACCTTGTATATATGGCCATGCTTGAAAGTCACTAAGAGCTATGAGAGCTACAAATTATATAAGACACTGGACCATAGCCAAATCATTGAATCTTATATCATTTTTTAGGAGGTTAAACACTGGAGCCCACTGGTCGAGCACATTATACGAGTAGATAGATGCACATCAATCTGAAAACTTAAGCTGACTAATAAATGTTACAATTAGTGCATTAGGGACTTAACTCTTAATTCACTTCTCCCGTGGGATTTGCATCTCAATAAAATGATAAAAAAAATATCTTAATGCAAACTAGGAGTAGTGATAAGGTTGCACACATCAATCTCTGCCCAAAAACTCTAGCAATTGCGTTGTGCACCTGCTAATGCCCTTGAAGAAAAAAAAATTGACCTTTAGCAAAAACACGAAAAACTACAAAGTCAATTATAATTAGTCGAGAGAAAGTGGCTATCTCTACTAACAGATTCCATCTCATTAAATCAAAATGCTAACTGCAGTTTGATGCATAGGATCAGAATAATGATGCATCATGAAATCAATACGCTTCTAAGAAGGAACTTACAATAGTCGATCAAACCATAGAAGCCTCACATTTGACGGGATATTTAACACAAAAGCAAAAACACCTTGAGAAAAAGAAACTCTAAGAGGACTGGAGAGCGAAGAGAGCATACTTCTAAATCATGAAGCTTGGCCTCAAGTTTTGTTTGGGTTTCATATCTCTTTTGCTTAATTCGGCCTTCTGTTGCCATAGAAACACGCCGAGCTCTTATTTGTGTTTGTATTTTGCTCCAGGAATGAGCAAACTGCAAAGTGAGAGATGTCTGCCTTTTAACAGAACCGCCATCAGAAAGGAAACTTAATCTTTGTGTTCCTTTCAGTTGGCGTGAAATTTTTCTAGCCTGTAAAACAAAACAAATTGGATTTCATATTTTCTCTCATCAAAAAGATGGAATACAAAAAAATGCTCATGATATAGAAAATTAACAAAGGCAAGAGAACCGGTGAAGTTTCAACGGAAATGTATCATGTAGCATGCATTTGATGTACAAATTAAGCATAGATATGCAAACTACAGCTCCCAGCATCTAGCTTAACCTAGCATCTATCGGCTATCAGTTGCAACACAAACCTAGTTTCTTACTTCAACAACTAAAGTCCTCACGCACATCAAACATTTCAAATAGTTACAAGCAAGGATATTTGTTAAAATTGGGATTACAAACCTTGTAGCCTCGAAATGCAGTTTGTATTCGAATAGCTGCCATCTCCTCAGAACTAAAACCAGATTCTCCCAGATTATTTCTGCCACGAGAACCATTATATAATTTATTTGATGATTTACTAGGCTGGTTTTTCAACTTGAATCCATTTGACTGGTCACGAGCAGATCCCTGTTGAACAGCAAGAAAATTTGTTGATTAGGAGAAATAGTCGAATAAAAAGCAGCACTACTAATGACACTCATGAACAATACGATGTCAAAAAAAGAACTAATGTGCTTGAAGTGCACGTATATTAAGATAATAACAAAAATTTTAAGGTCACTACTCCCACACTCAATAAGAACAAAATGAATTGCTGGCATTTAAAAAAAAAAGGCTACTGACGATAATGATTTATGGACTAAAAAGGTAAGCATCGCTGAAGCAATTTTCACCGAGTAATCATTCCCTTAAGAATAAGTAGAAGATAATTGATAGTTTATTAGCATAATGAAAGAGAAACTATGTTTTCCTTTGCTGGAACTCTGGCCACTATACACCAATTAAATCATAGTTATGAAGCAAATGGGTGTAACATTACAACACAAGGTTCCTTTTCAACCAGGTTCTTTCATAGTTATTCTTTTATCAGTTCTAATACAAATACACGGAAAAGGTTTATTAGTACATTCTTGGAAATTTCTGTTAGCAATGCTGCTATAATCTAGATTCCAATGCTTAACGAAACTAAATTGATGTTGATTGGTTGAACAAGAAACTTTTTAGCAACTACCGCACTTCAGGTGGATGAGTGGCTTTACTCTTAAAGACAAAATGTGAAATGCGTACATACATGAAAATTTTGGAGTAGCTTCAGTGACAGATAAGATTAGAGAGAGTCACCTTAGATGGATTGGTCACATAAAACATCAATCTTCCAATGACCCGTTTAGGTGAGTAGATATATTAGATTTGGCATATGTTAAGAAAGATAGAGGCATACCTAAAAAAACCTGGTTAAAAAATATTTGAAATGATTTTTTTTAATTTAAATGAAAATTTGACTCTTGTTAGGACACAATTGAAAAAAAAGATTCATTTAGCCAACCCCACATAGTGGTATAAAGGCTTGACATTGTTGTTGTCGGTAGTAGTGATAGACCTGGTGGTATTTCTCACATTAACAACCATAAAGAAACCGAAATCACACTTCAACAACAACGTGAAGAATTCTGACACTGATTTCCTTATTTCTGGCTGAAAAAATAAGAAGATGACTTAGTATTGTGTCAAGGTTTGATATGATTGATATTAAAGGTGTAAGACTTATTCATAACATAAACATTGAAGGAGTTTTACCTAAATGTAAAATGTTTCTTACTAATTAATTTTCTAGTATATATCAAAATGAAGAATGTAAACTGTTTTAATAATTAATTTTCTGAATTGGCCGCTTGTCAATTAACTCTTACACAACAAGAAATGCAATCTCTACTAAGGTAAATTTTTGGGAAAGCATTTACAGGCTGATGGTTAAACAAGCACCAAGATTCAGTTAAGCTTATAAATGAAATAATAATAACAATTAAAAGTAGCTTCTCTGGTCAAGCATGGAAAAATAGAGAAGCAAAAGGAAAAGAAAAACAACCATAACAGAAAGTTCATCAGATACCTTTGTTTCTTTCGATCTGTGCTGTTTTGTTTTCCTCTTGCCAATGATTGTTTTAAACCAATCTCCAGAACCCATAATCATAAGATGCAACTTTGGATGATTTAATATGTCATCCAAACCAGACCTGGAAAGAAAATATTCCATTGTTAGCATTAGTCTATCAATTAAATTTCATCCTCCAGAAACCTGAAGACTAAGAAAACTAAAAAGCTTCTGAACGTCTTGTAGAAAATACAAGAAAATAATTGCAAATTTATAATTTCTTAGCCGCTAGAATGAACATGAAATGGCAATTATGATGCAGGATCATCTCAAAGCATTATTATTCTCGGATCAGATCATCACAGTTTATGCATAACTAGACTCAATAATTAGATTTGACAATACTTTATTTGATCATGATAAGATTAGATGTTACTTTGTTTTGAAAATTTTAAATTAAATAACAATTGTCTTAACCAATGTTGACCTCTCTGTGTTATCCAGAAGATACAAAAGAAAAGAGGTTTAAATAATTACTTACCTATAATGACCATCCCCCAAATTCCGCTCAAATCCCGCTGAATCCCTGTGTACGCGGCGCCGTTTGAGTCGCATCCCGCAATTCCTACTCAAATCCTGCGGCAGTTCCTCGGTCGAATGCCCAAATACGTCGTTAAATACCAGACCTCCACAGCCTCTCGGTTCCCGCTATTCTTCTCTCGCTCACACCCGAAGCCAAAGTTCCATTTTCCTGATCACTGGCTCTCTTCCGATCCCCACTACAGCCGAAACTCCAACACCGATTCTCCCTCTACTTCCACACTCAGCTCCTCCATTTCCATTCGCTACTTTCTCCTCTCCACCCGACCCCAGCTCTCTGTGCCGATGCCAAAACCAAGCCCCAAGCTCGCCTCTTCCCTTCAGGCTTCCTCCCGATCCCCTCCGTCCAGAGAGAGAGAGAGAGAGAGAGAGAGAGAGAGAGAGAGGAGAGAGCATCCTTACCCGGCCTCCACGAGTTCGTCCCCGAGCCAAGACCCCCATCCCGATCTCCTCCTCTCTGCTAGTAGTCGAACCCTGCCTCTCCCTATCCAACCCGACGACCCAGACCCTACACCCGGCCTTTTAAGTTAGTAAGGTATTAATTTTTTATAATTAATCTTTATTAATTATCATTAATAATAATTAATTATTTTAATTATAATTAATCTTAAAAAAGTGATTCTTTCCTCGTGGCTTGCAATGGGCCGGCAAACCCCCTACGCGCTCACGTAGCGTTGTAGGGAGGGAAATCGGCGCGGCGCTTGCGGCAATTTAAGAATCCCTCTTCAATGCTAGCAACGAGCCGGCAAACCCCCTACGCGCTCAAGTAGCGTTGTGGGGAGGGAAACCGGTGCGGCGCTTGCGGCGAAGGGAATAAAAAAAATGTGTTTTCTTTTTTTATATAAGTACCCCCAAACACCCACGTGGTGCAGAGGGGGGAAATCTGTGTCTTTCTAACATGTGCTTTCTTCTTATAATAAAAAAACACCCTTAAATGCTCACATAGTGGGCGGGAATAAAAAAAATAATTTGCAACCGCGGTATCATTCTGACACCTACCTGAAGCGCTCACGTAGCATCGAGGGGAAAGGTTGCCTCTTGATTTTTCCCCTAAACGGGGGAGACGCCGAGAGGCTGTCGAAATTTGGATCGAAAATCTAAGGACTTGGAACTACGCTCAGAACTTAAATCAAATGACTAAAGAAGGGATTGAATCTAAATAAATTGAAAGAACTAAGCCTAAACCATATGGAAAAGAGCTCAAACTCAAATGAGCCTGAACTCAAGTGAACTTGAGTTTGATACTTGAAAGGACTTATGGACATGCATTTGAGCTTGATCAAATTCAAAACAAACTCAAAACAAGATATGGACTACTTGAACTCAAAGGAGATTGGTGCAATGAGTTTTGACTAGAACTTGCAACAAATGACTTAATTGAACTTAAACTTGAACATGAGCTTCGACATTTGAACTCTACAAGAACAACATATGACTTATGGACATGCATTTGAACTTGGTTTGAACCAAGTGAGAGGAACTTATGAACTTGAAAATGACATAAAGAGCTTTAACTCAATTTGAACCTCATTTGATTATGACTTGAGCAAAAATGAGGACTTGTATTTTGACCAACGAACACTTGAATCTGCACACCAAATTGAACTTGAATTAGATTCAAATCTGGACTTGAATACTGAACCTAAACAGAGTGCAGAATGACATGGGCCTCTGAATGATCTATAAGGAATTGAACTTCAAAATTATTAAATACATTTTGAAGATACTAAAATCAAGGTATAGCTTTGATCAATCAAATGCATATCGAGAAACAAATGTGAGACTCATGTTGAAGAAACCTATGTTACACACTTGTGACATATAATTGGAGCACTTGGGCAAATGTAAGCTTTGAGCAACGAAAACCCAAGGGAATAAGTTTGGATGATTGTACAAATTTCCCAAGTCAATCAATCTATAAAAGAAAGAAACCATAATATAAGCATTCATCCCGAGGGTGAAAATAAAGGACTTGTAATAGCATTATCCACCATCTTACAAACATATGCAAGGAGAGTGATGGAAACGATGACACGAGTAAATACAAGTGACATACAACAAACTGTAGCTCTCCCATAGTCAATATAAGTCAAAATACAAGCAACTGTAATGATGCCTTACAGGTGTAGGAAGTCGACAAGAAGGAAATATAATGAATTACCCCATGTCAATTATAGTTCATATGCAAGCAATGGTCAAAAAGTTACAGCGTGCTATCTACAAGCTAGAATAACATATTTGTGATGCATATGAGTTCTTGTCGATCGTCACAAAAGACTCTTTATCTACGAACAAGTATAAGAGTCATAGCAGATATCAACACTTGTAAGCAGTTACACCAGACAAATAAAGGAATTTCAAAGGGATTCAATGATGTATCTATGATCAGTGCAGCCATACATTCGTGAGCGAGAACTACATATAAGCTATAAATGTGATGATCCCTGTCTAGTCAATATCAACTTGCAAGTAAATTCATTGAACATCTACGAGTAGAAGAGATAACACATGGTAAATATGATAGCCTCCGACAATTGTCCAACATCAATCAAGTGTATTGGCTCTGATAAGCGATAGCAGATGATATGTAACAAAGTTCAATATATATACAAGATTATAGGGAACCCATCATCTACACTAAATGCTACCTACGAGAAAATGTAGAGGAACAGTAGCAAATGCAAAAGCCTACGGCCGGTTCTAGAAGATTTATATGTAAAGAGAGCTGACCACGAACAAAGGGATCATGTGAATTACCTACAAATGCAACTCTCTATACAAACAAAAGCAGAAGACTCGTTAGTATACTACGAATTACCTACATAAAGCAACGAGTAGTGCACGACAGTCTACCTGTACGAAGCAGCAAACAACTCTATTCAGAAACTACTACGCCACGCCACCGGATCCGCAACATTCATACAAGCGGAAAGAAGGCGTATACAAATACTTTCAAAATACTCTTGCACGTGCACCGTAGCTTGTATACACATAGGTACACAAAGGGGTATGTTAAATCAATGAAATTCCTAAACACTCGCAAGGGCCCTAGCGAGCGTGTTATTAGTACACACGTGACGTCCAGGGATACTGCGCAAGTTATTAAATTTGAACCCGATCCTCCTAAGAAGATAAAAGGAGTGGACAGAGTTCAATTATAAAATGCCCCCAAACACCCACATGGCCCCGACGAGCGTGTTATTGGTACACACGTGACGTCTAGGGATGTTGCGCGGGTTGACAAGTGAATTCAAGTTCGAAACCGATCCTTCTATACGGGTCAATATAAGTCAACAGGGTTCGAACCAACAAACAAATATACGGTCGTGACGACCGTCATATTTGTCTTAATACATTAATATTAGGCCTTCAAGCCCTATAACAAAGAGAATTCACTATCAAGGGCATAAAGCCAACGAAATCCAATCCTCTATCGATAATTCGATAGAGTTGACAAGATTCAATCAACAAAAGAGAAATGACCCTGAACACCCCGATGATGGCCACGTTGATTGAAGATCTCAATCGGAGGGGTTAATTTAAGGCATTTTCAAATGCCTCCCAAAAGTCCACTCAGAATCCAAATATCCAAAAAATCCCAAAATCCCAAATATTTAAAAATGAAATTAACCATTAAACACTTAAAAGCAAAAAATCCATCCACCCTCCGCAACAGTTTGTCGAGGTGGACAAATAAAAAATTACTTAAGCTCACAGTGAGCTAAATGTCTAGTCGAAAATATCACTAGGATCTATTCTCAACCAATCTCCTGCCAATAAGGACGTGGTACGTGTCCTCTAACCGACGGTTTTGCCGCCAAATGGCGCCGCAGGATAAACGGTTATGACCCGGGGCCCTCTGAACCAAGTGATTTTGCCGCTAAATGGCACCACGAAATACCGATTATGGCCAGTGCCAATACGTTCATTAAAGGAATCAAATCCTTGAGCTATGAATCAATAGTATATGATTGATAGGGCACAAAGCCCTATGTCAGCTAAGGTTGATTCAAATTTGTCCCCTTAGACAAACATTCACCAGAGGTCTACAAGGTCCCCTTGGACGAAGCAACCCATGGCTGCCGACAAGGATCCTTCTGTCAGGTTGGGTCGACTACCTCCTCTGACTAAGTAGACTAGGGACCACGATGGCCCGGGACGACGGAACCATGGGATCTTGATCGGGTCCATCATATGCTTTAAGTGAAAGATGGTGAAATTCCAATTTTAAATATCAAAATTATCAAATTCTCCAACCATTTCAACATCTCAAATCTCAACATCCATGTTGCTACTATATGTCAGATACTATGTATCCTCTACATATCTGATTGACGACTAGCCTTAATCGAAAGTTTTCTCTCGTGATCAGGAGAGGTAATTAACTATAGGGGCTTGCGCCTATAGGAAACCAGAACTCATAACATAAAGTCCTCACAAAATGAGGGCGAAATCTCTGGGTAGTGTCTTATCTACAAACCCATTTGCCTTCAAAAATTTACCTCGGAACTTATCAGTTAAAACTTCCTCGCCGAATAAAAA